CCCAGGAGTTTGAGGTTGCAGTGAGCTAGGATGATGCCACTACACTCTATCCCAGGAGACAAAGCAAGACTCTGTCTAATATAAAATAAAATAAAATAAAATAAAATAAAATAACAAAATATAAAATAAAAATACAACTATCAACAGAAAGCAATAAAGAAAATAGCAACATAATCTTACTCCAATCTATGTGTTTGACTTCCACTTTTATTCTAAGCTCATTAAAAACTCATTATAAAAATAGCAACTATCTTTTTCCAGAACAATCTTTTCAGCCTTTATGCTCATCCTGGAAAGCTAGGGATGGACACATGGTCTAAATTGATTCTCTATGACTCTCCCTCCTCTGCCCAGAGCCGGTGAGACAGCACCTATCCCTGGGATTGTTGGCAGCCACTTTGTAACCAACAGTGAGGAAGGAGCCTACAGGGAGTGAAGGGGGCACATGGAAGAGAAAACAAAGAGGTAAAACAACAATCCTTTCTCTAGAATCCTTTCTCCAGTCACATGAACAAATAAACACTCTATTTTTTAGGCCAGTCCGAGCTGGAATTTTATATATTATTTGCAACCAAAACATTCTGGCAGATAGAACAGAAGAAAAATCAATGGATTAAAAGTTTAAGAGACCAAATGCAGTGTGTATCAGGAAATATTCGTTGAATAAATGATCTAATTTTCCATTACATCTTGATGTGAATTTGGGCAAATCACACCACTTTAATGACTTGTATTGTAAAATAAAATGTTAATGGACATTTTCTAAGGTCACTTCCCATTAAAAATAGCTATATGTTTTCTATGAAGGTTACATTAAATATTAGCTATTATTAACATCGGTTTTGTATTTGAAGGACTGTTTCTTTTCATGTTCCTATTTCGTGATTCTCTTCTTTCACTGTTTCTTTAGCATTAGTATTTTATAACAAATTATCTCTGATAAAAGTAATAAGCATATGTGTCAGAAAATATATTTGCTCTAATACATTTAAAGACATGATTTTTTATATCCTTAAAAAATATATCCTTATATATTTTTTATATCCTTAAAAACATGACATTTATTATAAAATGGCTAAGAAAAAATTTCATATTAAATCACAAAAGGGATCTAATTGCTTCACTGTAAACCACAGATCATTGTTTTCTGTAAGTATTTCAAACACATTGCAATGCGTGACTACTATGTGGGTTGTGGAAACATCTACTGCTTCTCGGTATTATTTAACTTCTTGGCTTGATTGGACAGTTTGAATATTTTTGTTTTATACATTATCCCTCTTCTTTCCTTTTGCACATATAACAGATATTTAATTCCATTGAAATGTTAAAATTAGATATAATTGTTCTTACCTGACCAAGGTTAAAACTGAAAATTCTACTTCCAAAGCTTTTGTAGGGAAGGTTAATAATCACATCCTTAGGGAAATCAGTAAGTAGCCTATTTAGAGAGAAGAGCATCATGACACCAATGAGAAGAGTCGAGGGCACTAGTCATAAACCTGCAGCCATATTGAAATTTCCACAAATGCCAGAAACAAACTATGTTGGATAAGTGGAGAATGTGGAATGATTTGATGGGATTTGTCATAGTTGCTACCAGGTTTAAGTCGGAAATTGTCTAAACTTCCTACTTGGTTGAAGAGGCGTTGCTTACATGAGATGGTAAACCCTACTTCCTAACTTCTTACTGTTTTAAAGATTTTATGGCCCTCTGTAAGAACATGACATCACATCCTAATATCTGCCCCTATTTTATTTGAACCCTGTCATCATTTTTTTCCATAAAAATGATGACTCTTGTCCAATACTTAAATACTGTAATTTGTGGCATTCAAGCAAAGACTGTGAGTCAACCTGAGCCAACTCTGCATTTTTCCCTTTGTGTTACAAGCTGGTTTCCAAAAGACACGTATATTCAGGCTCAAAACACTGATAATATTTATCAGCATGTGAAAGAATCACAATGAAGAGTTAACTACCATCTTTCTGTGGTCAAATTCAGTCAGATAGAAGTTGATTATATATGTAGTATAAATAAAAAATGGATATTTAAAAATCATGTTATCTCTTGATATCAAAATTTTAGCATAGAATGTCTTCCCTTTATGTCTTCCCATATGTTATGAACAGAGAGATTCAAAAATGATAATGAATGTAGAAAATAGCTTTAAAAAATCAAAGATAATTCTTTACTTCTTATTAAAAATCAATCAGATAGAACCCATAACTTTAGATGAAGGCTGTGACTGTATGGTGTGTTCTTTTCATTGCTTATTCATGAAGAATCTGTTTTCAATTGTTCTAAGTAACAATTTTTTGGTTATAACATAATGATTTATTCCATTTAGTGATATTCTTTTTGTTTTATGGTCTAACTCCCTAAAGGCAAGCAGAGATCATTTAGGAGGCATCCTACGGTCTAGATTTAAGATTCTATTCTTATTTAAAAAAAATAAAAATAAAACATTCAAAACTTACCAGCGAGTCCAATGCAACTAAGATAATCTCTCTATAAGCTATTTTCCAATTGAAAAACAATATTAAAACTAACAATAGTACAGGTTTTTTAAAAAATTGTGAAGAACACCATGATAAGATTGGAACTAGAAGGAGGAAAAATCACTTCATTTTTCCCCACTGGTTTATGCAGATTAAAACCATTTGCATAATTATTTTTAAGGAGAGGTTTATATCAGGGATCTGAAATTGATGAAGTGATCCATTTGGGTATAGCACGTGCTTAAAAGAGAGCTCATAAGACTCTAGCTGTAGTAGGCTACCTCTGCGTTCTGGCACCAACTGAACATAGTTTGAACAATGAAGGGGAGGAAAACTTCATCTATGGTAATAGAAGTCAGAATAGTGACAGTTTTTGCTGAGAGCAATGACTGGGAAGGAGCTTGAGTTAGGCTTATGCGTCTAGCTAATATTCCATGTCTTAATCTGGGCAGAAGTTACACAGAGTTACACAGGTGTGTTCACTTTGTAAAAACTCATGAAACAGTTCATTTAAGATTTGGGTACTTTGCTGTACGTATTATTTCAGTTACGAAGTTTACCAAAAAAAAAAAAAAAAAAGAAGGGAATTCTATGTCAACTGGCCTAGATCCTTTAAAAAGTCATCATTTAAAAACAAAACAAGTAAAAAAAAAAAGACTCACAAAACCCAACCAAATATACAACATGTGAATCTTGACCAGATTGTGGGTTAGGGGAAAAATAGTTATAAAAACCTTTCAGAGACAACAGGGGCTATATGAATATGAAATGGGCCATAGATTATATCATGAAACTACTGTTAATTTTGTTAGATGTGATAAGGTGTTATAGTACAGTTCTAAGGAAATGCTCACTGATGTGCTTAGGGATAAAATATTAGGATGTCTACAATTTATTTTCAAATGGTTCAGAAAAAATTGTACGAGTGTGTGTTTGTGTGTGTGTGTGTGTGAATGTGTGTGTGACTTTGAGAGTATGTGTGAGAACATATGCATGTGATTTTGCATGTGTGTATGTATAATAGTGTGTGAATATGTATGATAGTGTGTGTGAACATGTATGAGAGGGTGTGAGTGTGCATGTGAGTGTGCAAGAGAGAACAAATGACAGCAAAGAGACAACATTTTAACAAGTGTTAAACCCAGGTGTAGAGTCTCTTATAATTTTCTTACAACATTTTTATATTTTAAAAAAACATTTCAAATAAAAAGGAGACTTTAAAAAAAATAAAAAGGGAAAAATAAAATGATTGCTTGACCTAAATCCCAAGCTTTGAGATTCCTGCTGAACCGTTCTGAAGACCAAGATGAAACTGAGATAACTGTAGAAGAATCTGGAAACAATGGGCCCTAGACACACAGGATGAGTTATATTGCTCACATACGAGGCTCCGGAACGCTCACCGTCCTGAATTTTATTTTTACATGGCACACATTTAGAGAATGTAGGAGTGTTCTGGGAAGTTGTAGCAGCTGGTCTGCCAGTGCCGGCGAGGCTGGGGTGGTTGAATGTCTGAGGAATTCCGAGGCTGCGAGGGAAGTGTGTTTCAGAGCAAGGCCCCAAACTGCCTGGGAGCCCCCAGTGTGAGAAACAAGCCGGTGGACGGGCCCTGACAGATGTTATGAAAGGGTGGCGTTAAGTGCCTTTTTCAGGATATTAAACCAGCATCCTAACTGGCAAAAAAATGAATTGTCGCTGACATTATGTCGGCCCGGCGGAGACCCTGTGCGCTACTTTCCGCGATCTGGGAGCCATTATGCCCGGGCGATCGGTGCGCTCCTGGGCTGGAGTCTAAATAATGATTTCTAATAAAACCTATTTGAGACTGTAGAGGCCAGAGGACAGACACAAGCCACAAAACATACTGTACTTAAAGCCGCCCTTCCCTCCCTTTCTCTCTTTTTTAAAGACCTGAATAATGGAAGAGAGATCTGGTGATAACGCATTTAAAAAAAAAAAAAAGAAGAAGAAGGGCTTTTGGTCCTGGCCAATGTGCTCAGCTAATGGCTGTAAACTGACACCCCTAATGAAATAAAAATGTCTGGGTTCCAGTGCGTGGGCGCACAACTGCTAACGACGCTGAACTCTGGCCGCGATGCTGGCTATGGGTATTAAGTGATACACTGACGATTTCCCACGACTTCCGTCCACCCCCAGCCCCTGCCCCGCTGAAAAAAGCAAATAAAGGAATCGTGTGCAAAATTTAAAGATGTTTCGGCCAGGGGAGCAATGGGCCTTATCATGTTCTCTGCTTGCAAGAGTGGACTGATTACTTTTCATCTGCAGTCTTAAGGCCCACGGTGGGTCACGAACGGGGAGTGCTCTGTCCTGCCGCGTGCAGGGGAGATGGGGACACCGAGAGGTGTGCGTCCTGCAGCCTGTGCCGACCTCTCCCTCCTCCTGCCCGGGCCGCGTGGCTCGGCCCCGCTCCTCCGAGCCCCGCAGCGCCCGGGCCGGACGGAGGAGAAGCCCGGGTCCCCGTGTGCTGAGACCGGCCGGCCGGCTGCGGTCACGTTACCACGGGCTCCCCCTGCGCTCCCGCACGGCTTGCAGTTGTCTGATTTCAATCAGCGGCAGTTCCCTCCACATGTCCAGCCATCAATCTTCCGCCGCCCCTGGATGAGTGTGGCACAACACGGGGCATGTTCCAGTTAAAAAATAGCCTTTGCCGCAGCCTTCCCTCCTCGGCCACTGGTAAGTATGCCTTTGATATTTTTATTAAAAAAGAAAGAAAACACGTTGGGGAATATGTTTCATTTCTTACAGCCCAGACCCGAGCCCCCGACGTTGAAGAGGATTGAGGTCTGTTGAGAGGCAAAACGGAGAGGAGGGCCGAGTCGCGCCTTTGAAATTCCAGAGCTTTGCGCGGTGGGAAGGCCCCACTGCCCCAACGCGGAAGCTCTGCGGTGGCGTTTTTTCACAAGCAGCAAACCAACGTCACCATCCTCCTCTTCAGACAAGGAACACGCATTTCAGTGGGAAACAGGGTTTTGAAAGACAGAATATGGAAATAAATTGTGGCCCCTGCAATTAGCTTTTTTCCCATACCCACTGATGGATTTTACAGCACGCCCTATAGACTGCCCGCGTCGCCTGCGTTGCTGCTCACCCGGGGCAGGAAGGCAGGCGCAGGGTGGCGGTGGGGAGAGGATGGGAGGCAGGGACTTGTCTCTCCCAGGCTGGGCTCTCCTGGCAGGGCTCCTGGGGATGCCTGCCCACTTAGTCACTCCGGGAGACTACACAGTAAACATTCTGTAGCCAGGTTCTGGTGCCTATTTTAAAACCGGCTATTCCAATTCACTTACACTCAGGGGGCCGCCTACCTTCCTGGCAGGGTTGTTAGAGAAGCCTCTGGAACTCTGGGGGCACAGGGACGTGGGCACTGGATCCCCACGCCTTTTGTTTATCTCTACCCCTCCAGCCTTTGTTCACCTCTAAGGCTAAGGAGAAGCTGGCCTGGTGAGGTTTATTGCAATTAGATTTTTTTTATCTATGCTTTCCCCCCCCCCCAAATATTGAGAGGGTACAAATGTTTTCGTTACATAGATACCTTTTATAATGCTTGGGTTGGAGCTTTTAGTGTGCCCATCACTTGAATAGTGTTCATTGTATCTGATTAGATTTTTAAATGGGGCCAGTTGCCCATTGCTGGAGAAACTTTCAAGTCATCAAGTCTTGTACCTGGCAACCTAAAAATGAAACCTAAGGTAAAAAAGGGTCTGGCCTATCTGTATCCCAACCACTCAGGCCTCATAGTCTTTGGGGGTTGCAAAATCATCTGCCATCCTCACGGTGTGCAGGGCTATCTAACAGTGGCTCAAGTGCTGAAAACCTATACAGGAACCTTGGGGAGGTGAGGAGGGAGGGTTTCTAAATGGCACGGTGTGGTAATTAGAGACGAACAGATCTGTGGGCAGAGATGGGGAGGGCAATTCTATTTTGGAAAACCTTAGAATCAGAAATAACAGGAAAGAACCTGGGATTTGAAGAAGCTGCCAGAATGTGTTCTAGGCATCTGGTACTGTGAATGCTTGGGATAAGGTTTCAGGGACATGGCAAGCCTTCTGTCTCGTGGGGGACCACAGGCAATATTTGTGGACGATGGCACCTCATTTTAAAGATGAAGAACTGACTCATGCTAGAAAGGGGGAGGTGAGTCATGTTATGTCCCTTTCAGAGGGACACAATGAAAGCAACCTTTTCAGTAAGTACAAATTTAAATCATTGAAATGGCTCGGCCATTTGGAGTTACCATGGACCCACTGAATCCAGTGGCTTCCTCCACTTGCTAGCTTGCCAGAGTCCATAATATTTTACTAATTCTGAAATTTTAAGTTGTTGCATGAATGAATGAGCTCAACTGCTGTTTGTATTGGTATTGATGAGTATGATGCCTATGGTTTACGATGTAAAGACTGGCACAGAATACAAAAAATATTTTCACTCAACAGATATTTTTGGAGCTCCTGCCATGTGTTAGGCACTGTTCTTGGACATGGGGATGCAGCAGAGAAGAAGATACAGCATTGACACTTCCTGCAGCTTACACGCCAAAGGAGGAGACCGACAATAAATAATTAAATGAAAAAATAAGATATGATGTTAGATACTGATAAATGCTACTTCTACAAATAATATAGGTGGTTAAGGATGGCCCTTCTGAAAAGATTTATTTGAATAGAGAACCAAATGGTGAAAAGATGTAAGCCATGAAGCTTCTGGAAGAAGAATGTTCCATGAAGAGAAATCAGCCTGCATGTGTGAGGAAAAGAAAAGATGCCCATGGTCGGTGACCAACATGCTGGTTTGCCTTGGACTGAGGGGGGTTCCCAGGACACAGGACTTTTCACGCTGAAAACAGGAAAGTCCTGGGCAAACTGGGAGGAATTGGCCACCCCATGTGTGGCTGCATGTGCCACATGAGAGGCTGTGATGGGGGTGAGGCAGGCAGGATGAGGTCACGTGGGCCCCTGGAGACCATGGTCTGGAGTCATTTTATTCTGAGTTTCATGAGCAGCTGTTGTAGGACATTTGTGGGTCTCAAGCTGTTATTCTATAAAATGTTCTTACTGCATAGTGGCAGTGACACTCGAATGATATTTTATTTAGTACTGAATGGGTACTGGGGTTCAGTTATGCAAGGTTTTGATTCTGTGGAATTTTGAGAAAGTGAAAATATGAAAGATTAGAGCTGAAATGATCAGGCTTTATAATTTGCTGAAGTTGCTACACAGGTTGCTGCACTCTCTCGGCTGGCCCCTGCCTTCCTTCCCTTCAGGCTTCTCTCCTGGAACCTGCCTCTTCTTCAGTCCCCTCCACCCACGCTAGGTTTGCTGCATGTCCTAAAACACTCCACGCTTGCTTTCAGATCCAAGGCCTTTTTTTGTTTGTTTGTTTTTGTTTTTGAGACACAGTCTCACTCTCTTGCCTGGGCTAGAGTGTCCTGGCATCAGCCTAGCTCACAGCAACCTCCAACTCCTGGGCTCAAGCAATCCTCCTGCCTCAGCCTCCCGAGTAGCTGGGACTACAGGCATGCGCCACTATGGCCGGCTAATTTGTTCTAAATATTTTGAGTTGGCCAATTAATTTCTTTCTGTTTCTAGTAGAGACGGGGTCTCGCTCTTGCTCAGGCTGGTTTCGAACTCCTGACCTTGAGCGATCCTCCCACCTTGGCCTCCCAGAGTGCTAGGATTACCATGCCCAGCCTCAGAACCAAGGCCTTTGTACTAAGTAGTTGCACTTTCTGGAACACCCTTCCCACACTTTTCCTGGAGTTATTCCTTTGTGTAGTTTAGGTATGTAGTTTAGGTATTCTTAAATGTCAATTCCCTAGACCCTTTCTGTCTCCCATATCTAAAATAGCCACCACCACCCTGCCACTTCTTTTCACCTTAGCCTGCTTTATTTTCTTCATAGCACTCAACAGTTATCTGTTTCTTTTATTCCATCAGAGTGATAAGAGATGCAAGACTGCTCTAACCATCTCTGGCTACCTCTTTCTTCTTCTTTTTATTTTTGTTGTCTGCTGAATGTTTACTCTTCTCCTACATGGCAGTTGAGGCCAGGGCTGCTGTCCTTGTCTAGGACATTGTCTCTCTTGGTCAACTTTTCCTCTTGGGTTGATGGCTGTGCCTTGGCTTGTTCTCTGCTCACATTGCAGTGGTGAGATCTGAGCCTTGGGTTTGGTCTTCAGGGTGGCAGGAGACAAAGCTCACATCTGGCCTGCTCTGGTTTCATGTGACTGGGCCTACTTGTAATAACAAGAAAAGGAGTCCTATGCTTTTATTCTTCCTAACTCACTGCATTAGGCAATGATTGTAGTAGCTATTAATAAAAAGCACTAATGCTTGCTTTGACCAGTCATTGTCTTGTACACACATCTCTCCCAGGGAGGATTTATTGGTCTGACAGATGATTCAGACATTCCTAGGTTCCCTGCTCAACACAGTATTAATGTCATATCTTCAGAATACTCCATTCTATCATTCTTAACATTTAGGCTTGCCAGAAGTGCCTGGAACGCTATTAATAACATCAAAAGATTGATTCCTTTTTTTTTTAAACCAGAGCAAAGGGAAAACTCCAGTTATGTTAGAATACATTGAAGGCAGTACATATCATTCCCATCTTGCTTGTACTTGGTCTTTTCAGTGTTGAAATGACCCATGATATACTGATAATTAAAGCACAAATAAACATCTTCACCAAAGAACAAGGCAAAAGGTTAAAAAAAAGTATTGTATGCTTTTATGTTGGAAGTTTACACTAAATAAACTAGGGTGGGTATAGCACATACTTAATTTCTATGTTATATCTTTCCCTAAATTATATTAATGTTGAGATATGTGGTAATTAAATTTAATAAGGAATACTTTGTATATTGCTTTAAATCATTTTTCAGTTTTTGTGTTTATTTACCATGGAAGCTATTTTTGTACTGGGTTAAAACCAAATTGCTAAGGCTGAACACAGTGGATATGAACTAGACCTGTCTGGTAACTTAATCCACGGCTTGGTTTCTGAAAATCTTTTTCTTGGTTTGATTTGATGGACCTTGAATCATTTATATTTGAAATTCACTCTCCATTAAGAGTGTAAAAGATGTTTTTAGTCTTTTACCTCTTTTCTGCTCACTTCTCCTTCCTCCTAGTCTGCCTGTGTGTTAATATCTTGAGGATCATGAGAGGCAAGGAGAGAGAAAAGAGAGGGAGAGGGGAGGCCCATTTTATAGTTGGTTCCCTTTCATCTCCTCCCTTGAAATCAAGTAACCCCTTGATTTCTTGTCCTGTTTTTAGAGGCCAACCTTCCTTTTCCTCCCTCAAACATTGCCTCATATTGCTTTCTCCTCACAACCTTTTGTTATGTAAGCAAATCAAACCCCACATTGTAGAAAGTAGAATGTAGCAGTTAAGCACCTGTTCTCTGAAGCCAGACTGCCTGGGTTTTGAGTCCCAACCTACAACCAACCCATTATTTACAAGTTGTATGAAGTTGGCAATTTGGGCAATCTGTTTTAGCTCTTGGTTCCTTTCTCTGTAAAATGGGAATAATATCAATGTTCATCTTATGGTTACTGCTACTTAACTACGGTACTTTAATTAAATGCCTTTGTATATGTAAAGTGCTAATAACATGCCTGGCAGTTAGTAAGCACCCAATAAAGCCTTGCTCTTATTATACCCTCCCTTCCAAATCTTGAGTCATGCATATCATTATCCAAAAATGTCACACTTGACAAACACCGGGCTGCACAGGGCCTCCCACCTCTGGCCTGTGTACCCCTGCACAAAATGCTTGTCAGTTTAAATCAGGGTAAAATTAACACCGTGGACAGCTTGGAAGCAGAAAACAAATGACAACAGGAGCATCTACAGTGTGTCTAGAGGAGGGAGAATGGCGCATACACATTTGTCTTGAGGATGACAAAGGAAGAGTGGATTTGGAATTAATTTTGTGGCTGGGAGCGTTGGGCACCTGTCAGTGCTGGCTTGTGGGGGCCACTCTGTTCACCAGCAAGTTCTTCCTGACAGACATAAGGCAGATCCACCAACCCAAAGCCATCAGGCTGTAGGGCTCAAGACAGTCATTCTCATTTAATGAACCCTTGGAAAAACTGAACTTCCCCAAAATTAGCATCATCACCACGTCTCAGTCTTTTGTTTTAGGTAAAGGGTAATAGAAATATGTAATATTAATTTTTACCTACATTTCTGAAAACTAGGATTTCTTCATTAATAACATAATTATGTTTCCACGCTCATTTATTTTGGCATGTAAATTCTTAAAGTATAAGAAATCTACATGTATTACAGATACATAACTATATTATTAAATGTTTTTGAATGATAATTTCTTTATTTAAAAAGTACTGTCTAATTCATTAGGAAAGTTTAAGCATATAGTCAGGACAAAATTATTTTTATTTTAATTTTTTTAATATTTTGGAGATAGAGTCTCACTTTGTTGCCCAGACATGAGGGCAGTGGCATTATCATAGCTCACTGCAACTTCTAACTCCTGGGCTCAAGCGATCCTCCTGCCTCAGCCTCCTGAATAGCTGAGACTACAGGTGTGTGCCATCACACCCAGGTTATTTTTCTATTTTTTGTAAAGATGGTATCTTGCTATGTTGCTTAGGCTGGTCTTGAATGCCGCCCTTAAGAGATCGTCTTGCCTCAATCTCCCGAAGTGTTAGGATTACAAGCATGAGCTACCACACTTGGCCCCAAACTATTTTTATATTAAGAATATTGACTAAATTTTATTTGATTTTAGACATAATTTTTTTATTAAATTAAAGTATGTAGAAATCATACAAGAGACAGTGTGCTTTATCAGGGAGTTGCTTTTCAATAAAAGGGCAATTCTTTATTTGCAGGGTTCCTTATGATGATAGAATTAAGATTAATCCAATACCTACCTGATTTTAAAGCACAACTTTGCTTATATTGTCCATACAAAAATCCTTGCTTGGCCGGGTATGGTGACTCATGCCTGTAATCTTAGCACTCTGGGAGGCTGAGGTGGGAAGATCGCTTGATGTTGGGAGTTTGGGAACAGCTTGAGCAAGAGCGAGACCCTGTTTCTACCAGAAAATAGAAAAAATTAGCCTGGCGTGGTAGTGTGTACCTGTCGTCCCAGTCCCAGCTACTCGGGAAGCTGAGGCAGGAGGATCACTTGAGCCCAGGAGTTTGAGGTTGCTGTGAGCTATGATGACACCACTGCACTCTAGCTGGTGCAACAGAGTGAGACTGTCTCAAACAACAACAACAAAAAATCCTTGCTTAATGACCAAAGGCCAGATGTGTAGATTATAAATCTTGCTTTTCAATAAAGAACACTGCTTCTACATGAGTCTCTTTATTCTCAGTCTCTGATAAAGCCATCTTCCCATCAAGTCATTGGAAGTGGGATGACTTCTAGTATTCATAGTTGCTCAGGTCTGTCGTGGCACAGACAGTTGCAAATATTTCCTTCTGTCTCCAGTATCACAGGAAAACAACCACTGGCTTGGCATTGCACATCTACCAAAAGCGAGTTTATCTCCTAGGAATTCAAGGCTATATAATGTTCTTCTTTCTGAAAGTAATGATGTCTCCTAGCCATATTTTAATTATTAGTAGCAAACTATTCAACATACCTTCTGAAAATTGAGCTACATCTGAGGGAACACATTAA